AGCAGAGCCATGAGGTCCTTAATCAGCAGATAAACAGAGAGGTTAATTTAGTTACCCAGCATCACACAGCTAATAGGAGAAAAGCCAGGATCGACCCGGGTGCCCCTCAGTGCACAGCTGTGTCCCTGATCCCCCAGTTAGAGAGAGCTCTGCCATCTCAGCACAAACAGGACACACCTGCTTCTGATCACATCTCAGGAGGGATGGTGGACTTCTCGGAAGGGGCGTGAGCTGGACTCACATGGCCTCTTCCCCACAATTCCATCCCTCAATAAGGTTCTGCTAGGTGCTCCAGAGAAGAGAGGGCCAGAGGCTGTGCTTACCGGCAAGGCCTGAGACGCTGCCGTTGTTTATCCATTAGGTCTGATGCAGGCTGTTCCACGAGCTTCGGGTACTGGGTAAGCAAGTGACAGTCATTTGAATCAATCCCTGTTGATTATTTTATTATATCAATTTTAATGTAATTGTATTTATGTACTTATAGAATTTATTCTTAAGTATGTTTGGTTTTTATTTTTCCCCTCCTCCCTTGCTGTATGTCTCAGATCTATGGTTAGCTTGCGAGCTTTGTCTTTTTCCTGACCCTTTGTTCTGTTTCTCTATGTTCCAAATATAAGTGAAACAATTCAATATTTATCTTTTTCCTTCTGACTTATTTCTCTTAGCATAATCTTTTCCATCCCCACCCACGTTGCTGTAAATGCCATGAGTTTATCTTTTTGATTGCTGAGTCATATTCCATGGTGTATATAGACCACATCTATTCTTATATTTGAATGCATACATGGTTATCATTAAATATATCAGTATTAATATAAGTAAATGTATAAATATGTATAGACTATAAATGTTATATTAATTCTTATTGATTATTTAAAAACCAATCACTTTAAAAATATAATTCAAAATGTGTTCTCTCATCAACAATGACTTAACTCACAATAGACAGAACATTTGGCTTACCGGCCTGTATATTTCATATATCTGTGGTTGAGGCTCTAATAATAGAAACACGATGTTAATAATAACAATAACTAAGATTTATTAAGCATCTGCATGTGCTCTTCATCTTGTAGCACATGTTGATTGACCACTGGTATGTTCTGCCTGAAGATACAGCAATAAACAAAACGGATTTTTTAAAGATTTATTGATTCATGCATACAAGTACTGGGGTATTGGCCAGAGGTGTGAAGGGGAGGTGAGAGGATTCACCAGAGACAGAGTGGGGAACAGAACAGTCAGATTGACTGAAATACACTGCTGAGGGGAGCAGTGGGGAGACAGGAGATGTCTGCTGCACCATGTGGGTCAGCTCCCTGGCCGGGGATCAAACTCGTGCTGCAGTGGCTGTGGATAGCTTCATAGTGCTGCGTCTTAACCCCTTGCGCCACCAGAGAGGCCCCAAAACAGATTTTTAAAAAGCTCATCTTAATGGCACTTACATCCTAGTGAAGGGAGGCAGAAAATAAATTGACAAGCAAGCAAACCTGTGGTGGAAGGAGCTATGAGGGAAATAAACAAGAAAGAAGGACAGAGTGTCAGGGGTGCTGTGAGATTGAATGACAGGGTCAGAGAGGGCAGCACTGAAGCAAAGAGCTCAGCGAGTTGTCAGACTGAGAACAGGCTTCTTGGGAAAGAAGCTTCCAAGTAGATTAAGGAGTGAGTGCAAATGCCCTGTGGTCAGAATGAGCCCAGCTCCTCTGAAGAGGTAGACTGGGTGGCCACGTGGCCGGGGAGGAAGGAGCAAGTGAGGGGGATGCTGTCAGGGAGGGAACAGGGCCGGCTGAGGAGGTTTCTCACAGAGCTTGCCAGCTCCCTCTTCTATGTGACACGGGTATGGGGAGGGAGCAGCAAAAGTGGGAACCACCTGTGAGACTTTCAAAGGTCCACCCTGGCTGCCCTGTAGGTGTAAAGGTGATAACAAGGGACCTGTTAGAAATGGTGGTGACCGTCCACCACCAGAGACATAGACAATGCTGGCTGGGTCAGGGGAGGCGGTGGGGGTTGGGAGAAGACATATGTTGAGGTGCATCAGGATGTGCAGAAGGAGTGTGCATGGTAGTTGAGAGAGAGAGAGGGCCCTCGGGGTAACACTGACATGCTTGAGAGACAGGGAGGGGGAGTTGACTTACAGAGATCAGAGGACTGGGTGGGGCGGACTGGGTGGTGGTGGATGGGGAGCTCAGCCTTGCGCGTCCAAGCTGCAAAGTGCCTGCTGGGTATCCAGGACGGGCGCTGTGCAGGCTGCTGGAGTCTTGACTCAGGGGAGAGACTGGAGATGCTCACCTCGCTGTGCAGCAAAGGAAGCTCAGTCACAGAAGATCCATTCAAGATCCACCAGCGAGAGCCAGGACTTGAACCCACTGGGAAGCCGCCCTTTAGTGCTGAGTGCATTCCCGTTCTATAGACGATTTTAGAGTAAAGAGAAAATCCTCATGTGAATCCCTCATAATAAAAAAAAAAAATCTTTATAGCTCAGCTCAAACTTTTCTCTCTCTAAACTCAGATCCAGAGCCAGCTGGCTGCCCACTCGCTTGAAAAAAAAAATGTAAAATCCCACTTTGAGCGAGCATTCCGCTGGCTTCCAAAGCAGTCATGCTTCACAGTCCACCCGACAGAGCCTTGTTTTGGCAGGAACAGCAAGAGATGACATCATCCTCTGAGGCCAGGGAAAGCCCCTCGTGCCCTTGACTTCCCCTTCAAGAGCCACCACAGCAGAGCTCCTGATTGCTGTTGCTGCAGCAGTGCCAACTGGCACGACGCTTTTAGAAAAGCACGTCTTCAAGATGAAGCGAGAATACTAACCATGTTTATGCCCTCTGACCTGGCAGTGCTCATTCAGATCATCTCATCTTAGGAAATAATCAGAATCTCATGAAATTCTTACACTTGGAGATGTTGAGACGGCCTCGCGGACGAGGAGGGGATCGTTCACGACTACCAATAGCCAGTGGGGAAATGGTTAAGTAAATTATAGATGTCAAAAATTATTTTTAGATTTAAAAAAGAAAACAGTTCTATTAAAATGTTAGGCTCAAAAGGCAGGAGGCAGTGATGTATTTCGGTACGGCCTTAATCTATATTGCAATGATTTTTAAAATCAATTGGTAGCTAATGGGATGCAGGGAAAATGTTATATTATGTAAAAGGATGCTTGGGGGTTGAATGGGGCTCACTGTCTTTTCCCAGGATGGAAAATTAAGGGCACAAAGGAAAGCAGGTTCCAGGAGCCTCACATACTAGCTGATCACTTCCTCGTGGCTCGCCCAGAGTGCCATGAGCACAGTAGCTGGTACCGCCACCACCTCTCACCTGCACTCCCAAGCACCCTCCCAGCAGTGTAGATGGAATCTTGAGAAGACAGTGGAAGACACCTGCGCAGGTGCTACAAAGTAATCACGTTCTTCCTTTCCTGCTCATCCCCACCCACAAGCGAGGGATGGAGAATGTGTGGCAGGTGCCATCCTCAACCCAAGGGAAGAGGCACCAAGGCCATTGCTGATCAAAACTGGTCAAGCCGGGCCTCCCTGGGGGCACAAGGGTTACAGACACAGCGCTATTGAGCTCTTGCCAGCCACTGCAACATGAGTTCGATCCCCGGGCTGTGAGCTACCCACATGGCACAGCAGACCTCTCCTGACTCGCCCGCTGCTCCCCTCAGCAGTGTATTTCATCAGTTTGCCTGTTCTGTTCCCCGCTCTGTCTCTGGTGAATCCTCTCACCCCTCACACCTCTGGCCTGTACCCCAGTTCTTGTATGCATAAATAAATATATCTTTAAAAAAAAACAGGGTTGGGAAGAGCACAAACAACTATGGTGATGCTACATGGGTAAATGGGTGGTGGGAATTCCACAGGGATTATAACCGAGATGAGAAAGCATACATTGTGCAAAATTAAAGAATGGTGTAAAAATATATAAATATAAAATAAAATAAAATAAACTTCAAAAAAATAATGATGTCCATGCAAATTTAGGGTTTTTCTCCCACATACCTACATTAGTATGTAATATGGCCATGCTAGCAATTATTTCATTCGATCATTGCCATCTATGTTCTAGCCCTACTGACTCCCTGGCACAGCCGTGGGCATCTCCAAAGTTGGACCAACTCTTAGTTGTCTGGAATCCTCAGCACCTAAGAGAGAGTCCAGGCTGTCAGCACAACATGCTCCCAAATCTTGCTGCTCATTTTGACAGAGAGAAAAAGAGAGAGCATCTAATTGTACCCAGACTCTTAAAACTTTAGCCCAGAAATGGGTGATCAGTTTTGCTCTCTTGACGCATCTAGCTTTGCAGCAGGAAGAGAACTAGGGGTGTTGAGCAGAGGGTCCCAATGAATGTCACAGAGGACCAGCCTCAAAAGGACTAAGGGTGTGTCACCAGCTGCAAGGATAAAACCACACACATGAAAAGTGCTTAGAAAACTGAAACACAATATGATTTCTAAGTCGTCGTAGAAGTGTAATGGCAGGACTGTTCAGATAAAGGGAATGTTAAATCCAACATGCCAGATTTGGGGAAAATTTCATGGAGAAAATGGCAACATAAGATAATTAGAATTGGAAAAAAGCAGAAATGCAGCACAGGGATTCTAAGTGGAAGGAGCAGCAAAGGTCTGAGGTTGTGCAGTGCAGTGCCAACACTACCTCTGGCATGTCTTTGGAGGTCTCTGGGGTACCTTGGGTATGCTTGAGGGATGGAAGACCTAGTATCGCTTGAGAAGAAGGCATCTGCTATAAATATCATCTCTACAGGGAAGAGCCTTCTGTGGCCAGCTGGAAAATATAGCGCCAGCTGTGCCATTTTCAGCAGCGAAGGTACCCATATGTAAGATCCCAGATGCCAGGGGCACAGGAGCAGCCAACCCCAAGACCACAGTCCCGCGAGCAATCCCTGAGCCTGTCCTCCTCCCGAGGGCTCATCGCATAGCCTGGCACACAGGGCGCATCTGCCACGCTTCCCCACCCAGACAGAACCCAGCCAATGAGCTCATCACCACTTTTTTTTTTTTAAAAAAGCTACCATTTAAACAGCAGAAATGCCTGGTTTCCTGCTGTCAGCAAAGCTGTCACCATGGAAAGGAAAAAGAGAAAGTCCCCAAAATTAGCGTTGAATCTTTTCCAAGAACTGTCAATATTTTTGGAAGCCCCCAAGAACAAATGCTATCTTGAAGCTGGCAGGAGCCATGGCGTTGAAAAGGGATGGACTCCAGGCTGATTGATGGTGGCCAGTCGGTGCCATGTTCAGTGGTGACATCTCAGACAGGCGGTGGCTCTGGGAACGGCAGCGTGAGACCCCCTCTGGGGCTGATGAGACCACCTGCAAAAAATCTGGCAGAAAACTCAGTGCAGGAGACACATCACAGGCCTGTTTTTGTTTTTTTGTCACCTGAGTTTCACTGGTTTTATGCTGGCTTGCCTATAGGGCTGAAACTTAAAATGTTGCCTCCCAAGTCATTTATTTATGGGCGTCTTCACGGGTGTGGTGGGATTTTGGTCATGGTGTCAAGGTGGCACTCTGGCATCCTGAATCAGGACAATGAAGAGAAGGCCTGTTTTTATATTCCTTACTACCATTTCCCTCCTCTTCCCTCTGAACCTCAGAGCCTTCCTGGTGCTTATACATGTCCACTAGTGCTTGGAAGTATTTTCTTACACCCAGTTGTCTGCTGTGTACATGTCCACTATTTATTTTTACCATTCTGACTTGCTTTGCTACATGATTCCCTCCAACACCCTCCATGTTGCTGGGAATGGTGCATTTCATCCTTCTTTATGGCTGAATAGTATTCCATAGTGTGGACAGACTGCACTTCTGAGCCAACCGTCTATCGGTGGATATTTAAGCTGCTTCCATGCAATAAAGGGCCTGGCACAAGGTCTCATATATATTGGATGTATGTAGATAAGTCTTATCTTGTGTGTATCCTCAAGCATTTTTTTTTTTAAAGGAGAACTCTTTTTTTTGTTTGTTTGTTTATTTATTTATTTATACAAGCACTGGGTACAGTCAGAAGCGCGGGAGGGTGAGAGAATTCACCAGAGCCAGAGCGGGGAGCAGAGCAGGCAGAAGGACCGAAGTACACTGCTGAGGGGAGCAGCAGGCGGCAGGAGAGGTCTGCGCGCCAAGTGGGACCCTCCTCCGGAGGCCAGGGAGCAGCCGGGGATGGAACTGGCGCTGCAGAGGCTGCGGGGCAGCTTCGCAACCCAGAGCTCAACCGCTGCGCCACCGGGGAGGCCCAAGCATTTTTTCAATGAATGAATGAAGCAGAGTAAATAGTTGAATGAGAAATCAATGCCATCCCCTTATCCGGTAAGCTTTGCATTCATATACTGTACTGAATATAGTCAGAATCAGCGTGCAGGTGTGTGAGAGGTCAAGCAGAAACTACATCTCATATGAGGGAGAGCAACCCATGTCAAAGGATTTCTTAAGGTGTTTTGGAAAAGGAAGCCCTGAAAATATTTTTTTTTTTTTTCCTGTCTGTTATTTCTCATTTATACAGTAATTACCTCAATTTTCTATTTAAATGTTGTTAAAGTGTCTACTAAAATTACCTATTGATTGACATAATAAGGTAACATCTCAGACCTCATGCTACAAACCTGCCAGGTAGCTTCTTTTACACTTCACAGCTAATTTCAGAGGTGAGACTCAGTACCCAGGTCTGTGAATATTTGGGACTTTAAAAAAATTATCCTGGTGCTCAGGCAGCACTGTCCCAGCATTCACACAGAGTACCCTTGGGTACAGGTTTGGGGGCACATTTTGTGTCCATGCTTTGTGTCTCAAGCTTCCCGAGAGCTGGTGAGTTAGGAATAGTAATCCCTGCTTTTCATATGAGACCTTGACGGCAGAGAGAAAATCCTTGGGCCAAGGTGAAAAGGTCGCTAACTCAGAGTTAGAGTCTGCTCCCCCCACCAAGACACTGGGGGTTGGAAACGCTGCAGCCACATGCCCCTGGAGTATTCACCCACTGCCTGGCAGATGCCCCTGTGTGCCAGGCACCGTCTCAGTACCGGGGATATAACAGGGAGGGAAGGAGAGAAAAATATCATCAGTCCTGGGGGACCTGTAGGGTAGGGGCCGAGGTGTGCGGACAGATAATAAGGAAAAGTAAGTGAAGCAATGGTTGAATTGTGCATTTCAGGGGGATTGTGTGGCATGTGCATTGTATTTCATGAAGTCTGTGGCTTAAACGAAAAGGGAGGGGCTTGGACCCTCTGAGAGGAGGGCAGGTCTAAGCGAGCTGGCACATGGGGGCGGGGGGCAGGCTGGGACACCAGCCGCGTTTCTAGAGCCCAGGCGGTCCCGGAGCCGGCAGCCAGGCTGGTGCTTGAAGTTCGGTGGGAATATTCTGGAGAAGGCTGGAGGAGCATCCACGCAGAGTGGGTGCAGCGGGCAGACCCTGCTTTGTGTCTGGGGAAGGGCAGAGTTCAGACGCGTGGGGCAGGGCTCCTGGAGGAGGATGGGCAGGACCCGAGGCTGAGGAAAGGGGCCTGGGTGGGCCAAGGTGGGAGTTGGATTTGGGGAGCAGAGAAAGACTGGGTGAGTTGTCTCAAGATGGGTGGCTGGAAGGGCACGGGGAGGTTTATTTTGTCTCTTGTATCAGTTCCTGGCCTGATGACAGCAGAGACAGCATCCAAGGTGGCCTTGGCCGAACTCCCGGGAGCAGGATGCGTGTTCCTGCCGGCAGCGCACCTGTGTGTGGGGCTGAGGCCGCCCTTATCCTTCGCATGAACTTCTCACTACTTCTTTGCCCACGGCGCTTGCTTTCCGCTCACCAGACACCTATTTTGCATGTTCCCTAAGCGCTTAGTAGGTACACTTTAGCAGACCCGTTACATGATAGGTCAAGTCTTAGCTATGTAAAAATTCTTTTGACGTTACCCTAGGCGTCCTTGGACTTTCCTTTCCTTCTCATGCAAATATCTCTAGGACAGTAAATAATAGCACAGAGATAAATGAACCAGAGCTCTGACTTCACGGCGCTAACAGTCTGGTCTTAGAGGCAAATAAGCAAACTCATCGTTCCTGGCAGCGAGGACATCTATGAGATGATATAGACGCCACCCACCCCCGTGGTCCTAAACACACACACACATATACACACACACACTCGCGCACACACTTTGCACCACTGACCATGTCTCTGGTCCTGTCTGAGCCCTGGCAAGGGGCTGGTCTCTCCCCAGGGCACCTCTGCCTGGGTCTGTCCCGCCCCTACGCTGCAGTGCTGGTGCTTGTCTCTTGGGGACAGTGTGGGTTTGAGGGGGACTGACTTGTCCACTCCCCACTTCTCACTGAGCCCTTGGTTCACAGCCCTCAGCACCTCGGCCTCCCTACTCCTGGAACTCAGGGCTTGTTCCCATCCCGGCAAGGAGAGAGGAGGGTGATGTATAATATTTTAGGAGGCAACAAGGGGATCATTGATCCCCAATCTCCACCAGCATGCAATTAGGGTTGCTTCTGGTTTTCTCAGTGACGTGGGTTTACACCCACTTTATTGTTTGGGGACAGAAGCTAAGAAGGCCGTCTGGCTGACTTGGCGGGAGCTAGTTAACAGGGGCTTGAAATCAAGCCCAGCTCCATGAGTCCCACCAAACTCAAGCTCTGTCCACCCGCCGGGTGCCCTGTGGGGTGTGAGGAGAAACCGCACACTGATCTGCAGGGTGTAGTGTGGCTGCTCCCTGGGGAGCTCAATTCAAGTCAATTGGATCCAAATGTAACCACCAAAAATAAGGGGTCCTGTAATAATGCCACTCTGCACAGCCTTCTCCAGGGGAGGTGACTGCAGGAAGCAGGGGCTGTACACTGAGAACCAGCAGGTCTGGGTTTCATGCCCATCAAAAGCATCTGCTTGGTCACTCACAGATCACGGAGCTTCTTTGGGCCTGTACTACAGCTAGGTCCCCCGTTCTTTTGAGACCTAGATATACCCATGAGAGTGCTGGTTACATTGCTCCTAAGAAAAGACACAAACCCAGGGATTCCAACAAACCCAGGTGTATGTCTTTCTTACACACATGATGCCCAAGGAGGGTGAACAGCACGAAGAGGCCAGATCTCAGGTGGGTGCCCTAACACCCCCCATCTTGCCCACCAGGTCTAAGATGGCTCACCAACACCAATTGCAAGTGGCAGCCTGTAAGACCGGGGACCAGACAACCACAGACAACTCTGAAGCCCCAGAGCCCACTGGAGTTGCTTGAACTAGCCAATCCTGACCTGCTTGCCTGCCTTGCCCATCCGCTCCAAAGGAAACCCCATTAAAAGCTCTTACCCACATCTCCCCTCTCTCTCTGACCCCCGGGCATCCCCTGAGTTACCTTGTCTGGCAAACTGAGTTCTCCCCAGGGAACTGAGAGTCTAGCAAGACCATCAAACTCTTTCTGGATCTGCACCTGGCCCCACCAGCCTCCCCCAGGATAATATGTTAATGGGCCCACATGAATGGAGACCAGGATCAACTCTGGAGAACTGAGCCAGAACACAGGAGCCTGACCCGATCTAAAGCCTCCGCCAATACCTGGAGCTGCAGCCCATGTAGCATTGCCCTTAAATACGCGATGAATAGGTAGCCATTGTCCTTCTGGGTAAGAAGCCAAAGGGCACTCTCTGCAAGAACTGTGGGATTGGACCACACTGGCTCTTGGGAAGTCTTGCTTTGGAGCCGAGAGCTTCTGCTCCAGATCTGGACAGCCGCCTGCTTCCTTCCATCCTTCCTGGGATCGAAGGGCTGGATGCCTGCTGCCATGAGGAAGTTTTCTGCCCCGGCAGACTGCTCTAAGTGGGTTTCTCTGCTTTAAGTACATTCCCTTTAATCTGTGACTCCATGAATGGGCTGAACAAGGCAGCTGAGGTGGGGGCATTGCTCTCTCGCTTTGTTCCCAGGAGCCTGCATCTTGTCCAGAGACCACACCCTGCTCAAGGCCCCAACGTGCTCCCCCACCCCTGCCCACTCGTGCAGTAGAGCATGGGGGGTCAGATCAGGGCACCGTGCCCAGATCCACTTGACCTTGGCCCCTGGCTCCCCTCTTAACTATGGAAGTCACTCAGTTTCTCCATGCCCAGTACTGCCCCTGAAGAACCGACAAAAATTAAAGGCTGGCTTTGGTGAAGGTTCATGAAAACAACTAGTGTTACTTACTCAAGCCCCTTCTATTTGTTCATTTATCCCACCCATGTTCCTTGGGTGACTCCTGGGCCAGACACTGGTTGGTGCAGTGATGACTTGGTGATGAACATGATAGACTCCACCCTCACAGAATCCAGTGGATTCCTGCTGATGGAATGTGGCAAGGTGAGGGGACTCAGCTCTTTGATCCACTGACTCAGCTTACCTTCCAGTGGTGGGGATGGGAAACAAAGACACAGATAATTAAGCAAGTAATGCAGTCCAGTCTCTGCCCATCATCGGCGCCATGTTGGATATCAAGCAGATGAAGTTGATGGCGGTGCGTTGGGTGGTGAGCTAGGATGGTCAGAGGAAGCCTGAAAGCAATAAAGGCTCCGTGAGCAAGGACATACATGTGGGAAGGAGAAGTTAAATGCAGGTAACAGAATCGCCTACTCGGGGAGAAGCCCATTTGTCACATCAGGAGAGGCTGGCTCAGCACCTCAGGACTGGCTCATCCCTGAAGCAGGAGGCACAGTCCTGAATGTCACACCCCAACAAGACCACTTGGGGAGCAGCAAGACCAGCTCTTCCAGGGGTTCGTTCTGAGGGGAGAAGTTATTTCCATGAAGCTCCACTGTAGGCTTCCTTCTCACGCCTCAGTCCCTAGAATGAGTCAGATACTTGCTGTGGAACAAGCTGCTGGCAGGGAGGCTGTGCTTACACCATTGGTTGGACCGTTCAAGCCAGGTAACACTGGCAATGTCCGCACTCGGTACATTTTTGCAGGTCAGAATGTCCCACACCTTCATCCAGGCGGGGTTCCCAAATTAAAAACCCTCCTAGGACTTCAAAGCTTAGTTTTGTGTTTGAAATGTAGCCACCCATTCCATTCCTGCACACACATACAGTTTGCTAGAATGAGCAGTAAGTACTTAGAATTAATCATCTCTGTGTGAAGGAAATAGAAAACTTTTATTTTCAGAGTCACAATTGAGGCTTAATCCAGAAGAGAATGTCTGCTGGAAAAGGGTCCCAGTCAGTTGTTTTCTTTATAGTTTGCCCCCCACCCCCAGGATACCACTTAAATAGTGTCGGGACAGGGGGGTTGTTCTTAGAGGGGGGAGAAAAAGGAGTCGCATGAAGGCAAGCATGTTAGGGAAACAAGACATCCATTTTTGTGGCCACATGCTAATTGCCTAATACCCTAACAGGGTCAGCTATGCAAGCTTTGAACCTGGGAGATCATTCTCTCTGTGACTGATGCAACCGAAGTGTGAGGAAGGCAAGAACTTTTAGAGATACAAATCTGTCATAAGGAGATGCCCATTTCTGGTGGATGGCTGGGGCTGGAGTGGGGGTGGGGGGTGCAGGGAGCTCTGCAGCTTTTCCGACTGTGAATCCAGTGGATTCCTGCTGATGGAATGTGGCAGGAGGGGGGGGACTCAGCTGTTTGATCTACTTACTGTATCAGCTTCTTGCAGGTCTGTTTTTCCTTTGCATCCAAACTTCTTTTATAGCAGGAGCACCCCAGACCTGGTGTGGTTTCTTCTCCACCCCTTGGTAACTGAGAGTATTTTGTTAGCCTCTTGAAGTCTTAATTTCCAGATCCAAATAATGATGGAAATTGCAGTGCCCAGCTCGTAGGATTGCTGAGAAGTGGTGCTAGAGAGAAAATGTGTGTGCAGCATGAGGTAACCGCTCAGAGTCAGCCACTTGCAGGGGTGGGGGTGGGGGCGAGTTGTGTGAGATGCCCAGGGCCTCAGGTTCCTGCCTGGGTTCCTGGCTTGGGTCACCCCAGTCTGGGCTCTAGCTATTCATATTATTCACCAAACAGATAATGACCTTCTGTTTATGTGAGTATTGTCAACACCCTTCAGTCAGAGGCCATCAGGAAGTTGAACAAGTTGCACCGAGGGAAAATATACAAGGAAGGGAATCATGGGGTTCCTCAGCAATCAGGTTTCAGAAAGAACTTACTCTAGGATTTGGAGGTCTTGGAGTGAAGCTAAAGAAGCAGGAATCAGCTCTAGGTCAGGTGCCTTTATAAGTGGGGACTACGATGTGATTATCTTAATGAACCTCCCTCATGTGCGGGAGGGTGACTGGAGAGAGGGTGCAGCTGTGATTGGTGAAGTCTTGGCACTCACCGTAGCTGGGGTGGGGGGTGTTTGACACTGTGTGGGCGGCACAGTCATCTTGTTTCTGTCTATGCTAAAATCAGGACTGCTCTGGTTTTGTCTCACCTTCCCATAGTCTCAGACTTCAGTTGGCTGACCTTGCCATTCCGGGAGGTGGTTTGTGTCCAGCAGGAGAATGAGGTGCCTCCTGAGAGGGCCCGCCGGCCCCTGGGTGGCAGGGATGGCTTGCTTTTCTTTGTACAAAACAATGGAGATGCAGCGATTTGTCCCTGCCTTCAAAGAACTTGCAGCCCAGGGGAGGCAAACAATCCTAATGCCAATATGAGAAAGGCAGTAATGGAGGTGTGAGATCTAGAGAGAGGAAGACTTACCAAGAACAGAGGGGAGAACCAGGGAAATACTCACAAAGCAGGATGTATTTGATTCGAGTTAAATGGGGGCTGGAGAGAGAGAGAGAGAGAGAGAGAGAGAGGAAATCCTTTATGTGCGTAGCAGCCTTTGTGTTCCAAATTATAAATTCAATTCAAGCCCCAGCAACTTTGCAACTATAGATGTTTTCTTCTCTTTCTTTCCAGGAAGAGAAATAGCCTTTCTATTTTCATCATTGAAATCGCCATTTGTCATTCTCAAGGTGCCTCGTGCCTTTGTCTCTGCTGTCAGCTGGCAGCAGCGTTGCTAAAAATAGCTGGCGGAGGGAACCGCTACACGCTGAACATTAAAAATAGAAAGGGAAGCACTGGTGTGAATAATGCATGGGAGAGAATCCCGCTCACGCTGGCCTCCGGGTCCTCCAGAGCCCCGCAGGCCAGGGAGGATTAAAGCGTGTGTTTGGCTCAAGCTTCAATGAAAGGGCAGCCCACAAATTACAGCTTGCTCCTTGGCCTGCCTTGGGCAGGGAGGGATGGGAGGACCTGGAAGCTTGGAGCAGCATCTGGAATGCAAATCAGGTGTCTATTTGCCAAGACAGGCCAAGACAAAGGCGGGGGTGGTGGGGGGTGGCGGGTACTGGGAGAGCAGTGCAGCTCGCCAGGCTACAGCCTCATCCTTTTGGGGAAAAAAAGAATAAAAGGAAATAAAAACCACTGCCGGCCCATCAGAACTGCTCTGCAAGGGGAGCCGGGCACTGAAACCATCAGCCTGATCTTTGCAAATTCCATGCATGGTTCAAAGTTAAGACCCATCTCATGGCAGCCAGAGAGGAGCTCGCCGGCACCCTCGAGCATCATGGGTTCCTCACCGATATCGTTGAATAAACAAATGCTCTTGGAAGGATGCAGACTCCCCGGTGACCAGACCGGAGCTTGATTTCCAGCAAGCCCAGGCTGCCAGCTGCAGATGCTCAGTCCTCGCCGCTGGGCTAGAGGGTGCCCTGCGATGGCGCCGGCTGGTGGCACATAAAGAAGCAAAATGAAGGAACTAAATGAAACAAAAACAATCATTTAGATGCAAAAGACTAAATTGGTGGCTACCAGACGGGAAGGGGGATGAAGAAGGAGGGGTAAATCCGGCCTCTCTCAGGGGGTAAGCGGATGGCGAAGGGACAGTGCTCAGCCCGATGTGGTCTGTGCAGGTGTTGACTTGTAGTGACGCACCCCTGGAGCCCTAGATTGTTGTAAACCAATGTCAGTTCAGTTAAAAAATGTCGGTTCAATTAAATGTCAGTTCAATTAAAAAAATTTAAAATCAGAGGGTGCTGTGGTCAGCGGGGAAGGATGTTGTCTGGAGTCACATAGCACCCCGGCTTCAGAGGCAGGCTGACACCCTCTTCAGTGTCCCTGACTCGGCTTTCCCCAGCGGTTTCCTGCTGAGTCACTTCTCCAAATCCTTGCCAGAGCAGGAAGCTCCATCCACCCCTGCAAACGTGGGGGCCGGTGGACTCACCCTGGGGAAACGGTGTGTGCTCAGGGATGAGATGCGCCTCCTGGCTGGCTGAGGGGCAGGGGTGGGGGGGTGCAGAGCAGCTGTGGATCCCTGGCGCTGCTCCTGGGGATCTGGGGTTTGGCTGGACCCTGGTCCTGCTCCCAGTGTCCCTCTGAGTCCCCTAAGAGTTAGGTGATTCAGGCACTGAAGAGACTGCCTCTCCAGCCTCCAGGGGTCGGCCTCCTTCGGGCTCCAGGCCCAACCCCCTGCTAGTGGCTGAGACCCCAACTTTGGAATTAGGTAGGACCTAAGTCTGGTTCTGCCCCGGGTCATCTGCTCGGTGGTGAGAGGAACACCTGCTTCTCAGGGTCCTGGTTGCCTGCCCCTGAAGGAGGAACCATCCTGCCCCCTGGTTGTTACCAGGCTGAGGCCACGTGTGAGGAAAGCTGACCGGAAGTAGCCACGAAGCACGTGCCCTGGAGGACCCTGCTTCCTGTGTGTCCAGCCCCCGGGTGTGTGTCACAATCCCAGGTGTGTGTCACAATCCCAGGTGTGTGACACTCTCCCTCCGTGGCCTCCAGTCATCAGACACCCTCTGGAAAGTGGTTGCTTGCGAAGGAAAAGGATCAAACCTCCCCTAATCACCAAAGCTCTGAAGGACCCCCACAGTGTCAGCAAGGCCTCCCCTTCTCCTGCTCATCCTGGGATCCTTTGCCGACCCTCCCTCCATGATTGGCTCTGAACAGAGGCTTTTTCCTGCAGGTCTCAATCGAGAGGGGCCATGAGGCCAGAGTCATGTTTGGTGAGAGAGCCTTTTATGCCAGACCTTAGACCCTGGCCTTCCGTTTAATTCCTTGAACTGCCATTTTTAAAGAAAAGGGACTCTGACAAGGGTGGGTCCTGAGGCCTCCAGGCCATGAAAATGCTCTCCTTGCTGGGATCAGAGAATCAGCATGGAATGGGCTTGATTTGCTGGCAAGTGGCCTTTATGTGCCTGTCTTTTCCCACAGTTCACTTATTCCATCTTTTACTCACTATTTTTTAATTAATTTAGTCATTTGACAACCCCTCAAAACTTCTACTCTGGGCTGGACCCTGCTCCGTGTAGAATGTTACAGGGTTAGGGTATCCTGGCCGCGGGGTCCCGAGAAGTAAGGCTGCCCTGGCCCGTGACTGTCAGGGACCCTGAAGTTTCCAGGACTCTCCTAGGAGTCTCCTGTCTTCATTCCTTCCGCCTGCCAACCTTGTAAAGTGGGGGTGAATAATGTCCCCCAAAGACAACTGTATTTTAATCCTGGAGTCCAAGGTTCATACCTTACATGGCAAGAATGGACTTTGCAGATGGGATTAAGTTGAGGTACTTGAGGTGGTGAGATCATTCTGGGTGACTGAGGTGAGCCCTAAATGTAATTATAAGTGCCCTCATAAAAGCAGATGGTGGGGAGCCCTTGAGATTTGAAAGGAATGGACAGTATTTGTTCATTCCTATTAGGACTGTGTTTACTTGTGAGCTAATCCTACCATTGTGACATGCAGGAAAGGGGTTTGTTTTTCTCATTTTTTATAAAGCCCACAAGGAGGAACAGTATCTTGGAATATGCAGGAATCAGGTTCCCTCTGTCTGACCAACATTCTTCCAACATGTGACTTTTACTCTCATAGGTCCACAACGGCTGCTGTTGCTCCAGCACCACATCTCATTCCAGACAGGAGGAAGGAAAATGAGTAAAGAGCATGGGGCTTTCTCCAAAGAGGAGAAGAGTTTGAAAAAAAAAAAAATCTCAGTAACATTCTCTATTTTGTGTGTGTGTATGTGCGCGTGTGTGTGCGTGCGTGCACATGTGTGTGCACATGTGCATATATGCACCTCAGCTTTTCTCTCTGGTTTGGCACAATGGAGAGAACACCAAACACCTCCTCCTAATGCACACTGTGCCCTGAAGGAAAAATTAACTGGATTCAGATACGGTGACAAAAGGACCCATCAGCCTGCCCATGGTATCAGAGCAACTAGAGTATCTGCACACAGCTGCCCAGGCAGGGCCAGACAGGAATAAGACATGGTGACTAAGCAGATATGGCAGAAGAAAGAAATACACTTTCAAAATGAACCCAGCATGTGGACATCAGGCCAAAATCCCAACCTATAAGAAAACCCATCTCCTACAAGCCTGGGAAATGTGTCCTATTTCATCCTGCAGAATAACTTTATATGAACAGTCATTTAAAACGTAAACATTCAAACCAAGATGGTAAAACAACAGCATAAGAGGAACAAAAACATTCAGGCTTTAGACCCCAGGAGGAAATGGAAGGCAGTCAGCTAGATTTGGAAGGGAATTTACTCAAGGGTCCAATGCCAGGGGCCTGTGTGGGATAAGGGATACCCTTGAGGATGTTCAAGAAGCAAGTGCTGGTGAGAGCAGGAAGCTGTCACTGAGCCCAGGCCTGTAGGGGGGTGGGGAAGAACCGTCACAGGAGCCTGGGAGAAGGGCCACCCAGCAGGCGCCTGGTCTGGGAGGGAGGAGCCACTAAAATCTCAGCAACTGCCAGGGTCTGGGAGAGCACATTCTCTGACTCTCTTCCCTCCTGTTCGGATCTGCTGATGTCTCCACTGGCCAAACCATCAGAAGACACAGGGAAAGGCAGTTTGGATAGCTCAGTCCTAGACCAGCCTCTCAGGTCACAGTAGAGAAAGGCAAAGAATAAATGGGGAGGCCTGGGGGACACAACTGCTGGCTGGAACACAGCTGTACTGGCAAACTCCAGGCCCCTGCAGCTTTCTCTTTCCAGGAGATGCCTGGTTCAGGTCTTTCTAATGGTCGTAAGCCTTGTCACAGCCTCGTCTGCTGACCTGCAAAGCCACTCAGCTTCTTCTCAGCGGTCACCATCAGGTCTGCCTAGAGGAACTGGAGCTCCTAACCCTGACTCCCCCACAGATGCCCATGGAACCCCAAACTACCAACTCCACGTTCAGGTGTGTTGATGCCACCATGCGATGCGTTCTGGCCAGCAAGACAGGAGATGAGAAGTTTGCAATCAAAAAGTCCTTGTTGTTCCTCCCCCCATTGTGGGGATTCCATGCCACCTCCCTGGAGATATTCCCATGAGTGAGTATCTCAGGGAGTCTTCTTGAGAAGTATTACTGACCTGCATTTGCTGCCTTTTCTTCCCTGACCCTCTCCTGTGCTTTTGGGGTGACCTCCAATCCGTTAAGCTCAGCCTCAGTCTTTGCTTTTGAGGGGAACCAAATTAGACAATTGGTTCAAGAAGTGATCCAAGGAAACAGACACCCTAGATGCAGTTCTGGAGTTGAATTTCCCATGAGTCTGACGGCAAGACGAGCTCTGTTGCTCTTGGTGAGTGTATGAATAATAAGCTCCTTACAAGAAACGGCACCCCCATTGCTGAAGCTTTGTTTAGCGTTCATTGGAACGAGGTGGGAGGCGAGGCTTGGGGGATCCATGGCAGTTCCATTGGACCCGCTGGGGACAGCGATAATTTTGAGGAGTGAGGAGCATGGTTTAGAATGACCTCTTCTTGGGAAGTAGGAAGCTTTAAAAATGAAAAAGATAAGCTCAGAGCAATAAGTTGTCAACTTAAAGCTGCTCTGAAAGTCAGACTGTCTCTAGGGCGGTTTTATAAAGGAGACTCAGCTCCTACAGTCACGGGGCACAGTGTGCTGAAAATAGGGGCCAGGATGTGTGTATTTTTAAATGCAGGTTTCAAAGGAAGCTATATACAAAGTCGACACGTCTCCTATGTCGGAGTCCGAGGCCTGAGAGAGAATGAGCAGGACCAGGAATCCCGGTGGGGGGATTTGGTGGACCCACTTGAGAATCTAAAACTCTGAATTCTGCAAACCCTTCTGGCTGACCGAAGTGGCATCCTCCCACTTCAGAGGGAAAAAAAACAAAAAACAAAACGAAATAGCCTCCTCTTGCATGGAGACTCCACAGAGACCTCCCCTCGACAACAACCAGGGTCGCCATTCACCCCGGGGCCTCCCCAGCTGCACAGGAAGTGGGAGACGCTGCGTCTTAGCTGGGCGCCTTGTACTCTGCATAAGACTGAGCTTCTGCGCAAACAGACAACCTTCCCCACTCGACACATGCCGAGCACTCTGTGAAGCATCGAGGAGGAGGGAGAAGGCAATGAATGAAGACCGACACGCAGGGCCGGACAAGTGCGGGCTCCCAGTCTGAGGGGAGACAGATGTGTTGTCAGTGAGTTTCTCAAGGTGGTTGGTGCCCTCAGGACGGTGTGTACCAGGCAGTTGTGGGCTTGGAACACCGGGACCGTTGGCAGCTGAGCCTCGGATTTGGCAGAGACACGTCTCTTGAAGGATGTGACCTTGGAAAACATGAACATTTTCTCTAGGAAAGCTGGAAACAGAAGATGAAAAATGGATTTGCGTGTCTGGGGGATACATGGTTAGAGTCTGGCCGGGAAGGAAGACAGGAGGGGTGACTGGAGAGGTGGGCCGGGGCATACCGTGAAGGCTCGGAGACCACACCCAGGGTGGAATGTTCTCACAGGGGAGAGCTCCGTGAGCAGAGGTGCCTGGTCAGCCTCTGTCCCGCCTGGCCGGCAGCCATGCTCCTTCTTTCTAGCAATAACTCCACTCTCTCCCTCATCTCTGATGGTTCAGGTGCCTTTGCTGCCTCTTCCTCCCACGCCTCAGGGTAACCATGAGATCAAGGCCTGTCCAACCAGCACAGAACTTTCCCTGCTCACAGAGATGAGACTTACGTCAGCCCAAGGGGGTCCATTCTTCTCGTTTCATTGAAACTCTATGTTGGGGTGTCGGTGGGGGTAGGGGTTCCCAGACTGGGAAAATAAAACCCGGACAGAGCTCAGCTCAGAGCAGAAGTGAATGGAAGAAGCTGGGCTGAGGCCAAGGGGCCAGGGCTGGCTCACACCGTTGGTGCCCTTGGGTCTCCAATATCTGGAGCTCCCTGCCCCAGAGGCCCCCTCCACTTAAGTCAACTGACGCGATCTCTGCACCTGCAGCTGGAGTTTTGATTGCTCCGGGGGCCGTGTGGACAAGCCTCCTGGGGGAAAACCCCAGTCTGTGAGCACATCACCGTTCACGTGCCCTAAAAGTGGTGAGCCGTCCGCCTGTGCGCTGGACTGCCCCGGCGTTTGAAGGGTAAGTCCAGCTTCCCAGGACCCCAGTGGAGGGCAAGTAAGAAGTATCAGGCTTTTCCGCCCTCCCGCCGTTAGATTAAATGCATGCCTGACGGCGGACACCTGGAGTAGGGCGTGGGCATATATAGGTGGGCGCACCTGAGCCAAGCGCCGGGGCCGATAAGGCCAGGACACCAGAGGAGCAGAATCGCAAGACGGAGAACGAGCAAGAGAGAGGAGCAGGACCAGAAAGAGCAGAAGAGAGAGAACGAGGCCACGAGAGAACACCAGAGAGCCCAGAAAGAGTGAGGATTGGCCCGCGGCTGGAAGGCCTGCCCACCTGAAAAAGCCCGAAA